TAGAGCGCTCTTCCACGCAAGGCTTTGTAAGTTGAACTCCAATCCTAAAAATTCTTCCGTTTTCGACGTCGTTTCACTGATCACGCCATCTTTTGCAACAACTTCTGCAGGGAAGTAATTGAGCATGTGCTCTTTTTGAGCTTGGGCATTTGTCTATATTATTGTGTTTGCAGTTCAATATTGACAATAATTATCATTATATTAATAATCAAAATAACATTATTAGCATTATTATTATTATGATATAATATTATTATGTAGGTTTCACGTTCGAAAACCAAGATATGATTGTGAAAGACGCCGTAGAGGAGATCTCCGGAATTTTCGAGCATCATGTACTGTTTAGGTGCACAGACATAGCCCAGAACGCGGGCTTCTACCATTCCGTCCTTATTAAGATGCGGCTGCCACAGCTGCAATAAAAACCCACGACCTTTGAGTCAGCAGCCGAAAACCGTTGCGTCTATTCAACCGCGGTGAACCGTTTGCAGTTTGATATTGCATCAGCACGCAAAACGTGAATAAAGGGTTCACCTCTCACCTTCAGCGCGGGTTTCTTTTATTCGGGATAAGATGTCAAGTGCTGTTGGTCGTAGTACCTTGCACTCTACCTTGAGCTTGTCCTGTTTGAAGCAAACAAAGTGAATGCCCAACATCTTAGCGGTCAGCGTTGCACACGACATGCCTTGCGCATCATGGTAATCGGGAAATTTGCGATCACATCCAGCACGGACCGACAGATTCATTGCAGCGAAAAACCACACAGCATATCCACAGAATGAACGGTCATCAGCGGGATGATGCGTCCATTCGTCCGTTCATCCGTGCGTTTATCCGTCCGTCCATCCGTCCGTCTGTCTGTCTGTCTGTCTGTCTGTCTGTCTGTCTGTCTGTCTGTCTGTCTGTCTGTCTGTTCGTTCATCCATTCGTATGCCTGTCGCTTTGTCTCTATATGTCCGTCCGTCTGCTCCTATCAGGCTAGAGCACGCATCAGATGGACCAACGGAAGGACACACTGACGCTTCGCTCCACTCATCTTCAATCACTCCGTAGAAATGCTGTGAATTGCTTATCATAACAGAGCCACATATTCTCTTTATTTCTTGACTATACGAAAACCACAATTGCCATCTAGTGGTATTACGTTCAAGAACATATACACAAAGCGCGATGTAGTGAGCAGTTCTTGGAACTGACTGGAAGTGGCCACTACAAGATACTATAAGAGAGGAGGGACCACACAGACCCTGAGGAGCTTCGTCCTTAAAACCACAGCATTTCTACCTCGCTAAGAAGCTTACGGCTGCTCCTTTTCAGCAAAACCACTTGCTCGCGCTCGCCTGATACCGGAGCGTTCGTCGTGGTTTACCGATGTGCAGCGTTCCCGCAGTAGCGTCTCAAAACTGCGTGTCGGGCCGGCTCCTCCTTAGGCGCTGGTCAAGCATTCGGCTATTCAAAACGCACCCATTCGGCAGGACGTGGCGTTTCCTATAAGTACACTATAGGGAACTCTGGAGCTAGTGTCTATGGGGCCTGCAACGTTCTGCGCTTCAGCCAAAAGGGAAAAGATGGGTAGTACACAAATGTCTCTAATATTCATTATTTTAGCTTCATTTTCTTAGTGTAGCTTGGGGCTTAT